CTAGATTCACATCTCTCCTAATAGGACAATAACTAGACTCGGTGTGCCCTGTTAAGTCTCCTATAGTATATATCTCCTGGCCTTCTTAGGGGGAAATTTCGGAGCACTTATTGTGTCTATGACCGGATTTGTCCTGAATCATACTTCAGCTATTACGTTCAGAAAAGTATGCTCTAAACATAAACTAGTTTAATTGACCTTATCATTTTGTTAGAAAAATTTATCTAATGTGATATGGTTAAACCAACATTATGCGTCTAGTAAGAATACTTTGATCTGAGATTTAGTTAAAATCTAGTTAAATCAATCACATTATTTTACTGAGTGTAGGCTGAGTGTTCGTTAACAGATTTAACAATATTTTGTAATCATTTTTATATTTTTGAAATAGAATGATTTGTCAATTATTAAATAGAACACAATTTTTTTAAATTAATTGTCTACAGTCATCTTCGGGGAATTGATAGAATAATCTAAAGTAAAAACTTTTTAAACAATTGTTAAATTGGTACATGCAAATTCTTATTTTTTTTATTGAATTGCTTATAAGTTAATAAATAATTTTTTTTTTTGCAATTAAGAACAGTTCAATAATTTAACGAATTATTCCGCTATGTAAGTTTAAATCCTAAAAATTGCTTCAATTATTCAATTTAAATATTAAAAAAAATTCTGCACACATAACATTTATCAAGGAAAAAAAATTTTTCACGTACTTAACTTCCATAAAAATTGCAGGTAAAGCAATTTGCTAAGTCTTCTTACTCTTTATTTTTATGTCTATGTCTATTTTTCTTTTTCTATTTTATTCTATTTTTCTATTTGTAGAAAAAAGATTCATTTCAATAGAATTGCAATTTACTTCAATAAAGATTACTTCAGATTTTTCTGTGCAAGTTAATGTAGTTCCACAGCGAATCTATCTGTTGGTATTTTAGTTAAACATTTGTAATTTTTTTTTGCGTTTTTTTTTAAGATAGAAAACTAACAGATGAAAATAAGATAAAAAGTCTGTGGAAAAAACAACAAAAAAAACATAAACACATGTTAGTTCACATGAGTTTCTAGTGTACGCTTATTCAGTACACATTTTTTCCATGTACTTTCACTGTTGCTTACTTTGGCAAATTTTTATATCTTTTGTTTATTTTTGCAGAATGTATCTGCGATTTTTTCGCCGAATTTAATTGATGAGCACATCAATTTCTAAACGAATTTACACATGCGGCTGCTAGTAGCACACGTGCACATACACATATACACACATACACAGATACACACATACACAGATGTGAATAAATTGAAGCTGTACGTTACACACCAAAAAATCCGCCATACGTATGTACAGATACATAGATACTTATATGTGCAGCAGGAGCAGCAGCAGTTTAATGTTACGTTACAGTTCTTCATAGCATACTTTTCAGCGTTTCCGTTTCCGCTTCTCTTACTACTACTTTTTTTTTTTTTTGGTAATTTTTTATGTTGTGTTTTGTATTAATTTTGTTTCTTTTCCAATTTTCGTTTTTATTTTTATTTTATGTTGAACGCAAAGTTTATTTTGTTATTACGAAAGCTAAAGGGAAAGTCAAAGCCACTGATGAAGATAAGCCAAGCCATGGCAATGGCGAGCGTTGTTAGCAAAATAAGTTACCAAAAAAAAAGATACAATAAAAAAATGTGCATAAAAATATTTATCCTACAAAAAATACAAAAAAAAGCAGAGCAACACAAAAAAAAAATACCAAGTCAATTTACTTTTTACAAGTGGCAATTTTAATGTTGCACGGCGGAATGAGTATCTGCATATGCTACATGCCTGCATCTACGGGGTACTCCATTGCAGTTCGCTGCTACGGACTGGGCTGCAAGCCTGCCAGAAGTTAAGATGAAGTCGTGTATTCATGCTTCCACCTTCCGAAATCTTATGCAGCCATTCATTTAAGCTTTTTAAGTTTTTTAAGCACTGCCATGAATTTGAATAAGCAAAGCAAGCATGCATTGTACTCGTATCTGTGTGCATGCTTTTTATCTTTGAGTATGTGACCGTGTGCATGTGTGGGAAAGTACGTTCAAGGGTGTTGCTACTCTATATGAGAGCACAAAAAAGTAAGAAATTCATCTTGAATTCATTGTATTGCATTTAATTTTTTCCCATTGATATTTTTAGTAACTTTCTTGCATAAAGCGTGCTTTTGTAATTTCACGTACATATATGTATGTATGGTGTTTAGTGTGTGTATTAGTATTTAAAGCATGAGTTTGTATCTATGAAGTTGAATTGTATGCTTTACTTTATCTCACAGTTTGGCTTAAGTATGCATTTAAGCTATTCGTTTTAGTTTGTGTTATGTTTTTTTCAGTTCATTCCTTTTCGTATTTGCTTGGCTAGCTTATCTGTTAAGTTAGTAAGTGGCAACGTTGTGGGTGTGGCTAGGAGTAGTTCATTATGCCTGAAAAGATTTTATTTTTCTCATGACTAGGATGAGTATCTTCTTTTGACACTTTAATAGTGGAAATTTTAAACTTTACTGGCTTTTAGTATTTTTTTAACATTGAAGACGTTTTCTATGAGATCAATTACAATAATACTTTTTCTTTTCTTTTTTTAGTTCTGCTCTTTTTAATAGTCGATCATTTACTATTTGAATGTATTATATATAACATAAACAATAAAAACACCTATTTATTACCACAATAAGCTTGAAATATTAATATGACACATTGGTTGAGAATTTCGCATAATGACACACTATTTCTGGCAGTACCACTAATAAAAACTCCATTTTAATTCTAACAAGTGGCAATTTTGAAATGAATATCAGTCAAAATTTGAAGATATTTGAGAGTTTACATATTATTTTACAACGGTTTCAGTAAAGCTACTTTTTATATAATGCTATGTTAAGCCTTTTCCGAGTTAGTGTATCTGGGCAATTTTACTCTATGATGGCTGGGGGTTTAAGCAGAGTCTCATTATATAATGAGAACAATAAATGAAAAACCATTCCCTGACTAAGAAATTAATCATTTCATTTGATAGGAAAAGGTTCTGTAAGATTAAAAGCTGATAGGTACTCCCCGAAATTTGTTCTATTATGAAAAATAGTAGAGAAGTATATTTCTGATTTTAAATGTGGTCGTTCTAACACCAATGATATGATGCCTAAATAAGTCGACTAAAAAGGAGGAGAAAATATTAAAAGAGTACACAAAATCATTTCGGTAAATGATAAAGTATAGTTGCAGAAGATAGCTGACATCTTAGACATTTCAAAAATAACAACAACTCAATGATTCTAAAAGCTGTTTGAAGCTGTTAAAACAAGATAAAAAAAATGTTTAGCCAACTCTAGAACATGGAACTATTAATGGATTAATATGATTGCTTACTGCTATTACAAACCACACTTATAGTAATTAATTTGTAATTAATTACTTAAAAAAGAAACTCATATAATTAATATATGATATTGATATATGATACAAATATAATATCATTATAATAATAATAGTATTAGTGTTTTAGTTTAAATGATAGTTGCTTGGTTAATTATTTAGGAATTTATAAAAATATATTTTTGTATAGTCATTAAATTTTTTTTAAATTAATTAAGGTAAAAACAAAAAGTTAGTCAATATTTACGGACACCATATTTTAATAAGATTAACTTATAAAGTGATATATACTGAATTGCAACAACAAAAATTTTTATTTAATTTTAATTTAAAATTTTATAAAAATTTAAAATTTTAATAAAAATAATTGTTGTTGCAAGTCAGTACTATACGAAACCACTCTATCAGTAAATATTTTTAAAAAGATTAAAGTTTGGCATCTGCCTTAAATAATTTGAAAATAAATTACTTGCAATAATGGTACATTATTATAAATTTTTAATTACAATTTTTATAAAAATGTTTGTTGTTACCATTTCGTACAGTTTTAAACCTCTTTATTGAACACAACAGTTCGTATAAGTAAAATAAACACTACCGTCATAATTGACATTTTAAACAAATTTAATATTTATTAATAAAATAAATAGTATGTTTCCACTGGCTTCGTTAGACCAGTTCATTTACTTGAAACTGAAGTAAATTAACTGGTTTAGTGAAGCTAGTAGGAACGTACTATTATGTCGTTTCTTTAATAACTTAAGATGTTAATAACATTTACTGAATTATAGTAAAAATTTTTTATTTATATTAAAAAAAATATTTTAATATAATTATTTCAGACTCATACTTTGTAGACCATCTTCAATGTACATGAAGATATTTCCCATTTAAATAAGCTCATGTGTAAAGGAAATAAGTTATATACTGTGTATCATTAATGTATAATTTTAGAAGTAATTTATACATAGAAACTATATTTTTATATTGAAAAAGTGTGCATTTCAATAAAAGTCATCAAGTGAGTTTAAGTTTTAATGAAGATTTTTAATATGTCAGGCACATTATTTCCTGTGGTTTTGTGAAGGAAAACTAAAGAAATATAGACGTTGTAAAATGTCTATAATAATCTTAGATAATAATCTTAGATTGTAAGATTATTTTAATAACAAAGAATTTCAAGAATTTGAATACAAATATCACAAGGTTATGGAAAATGAGTTTATCATTTGGAATATAAAATTCTTTATGCAAAATGTACGTGTAGGTTGTAAGTATAGTGTTCCACTATATGTATGAAAAGTATTAATCGTTTCTAGTAAATTTTACTAAATCTGTGCAGACACACTTAAGTATACTCTAACCCCATTCTTACTGTGTGACACATAAGTTAAATATCTACAGTGCGAGTCAACAGAGTTAAACCGCTTAATAGTAAATCCAATTAAATTAATCAAAAACTTAGATTGTATAGAGTTCATTGTTTTCTACATTCTACATTGTATATAAGTGTGTATACGATACTTCTACGATATAATGTATCTTTTTTACTTATGTTATGTCTATTATTTTTATGTTTACTTTCTCTATCATTTACTTACCGCACCAATTGAGGAATATTAAAACCACTGCAATTGTAAGAATCCTATTAAGATTGTTGTTGTTGTTGGATATACTGCGGTGATATTTTTTATTTTGAGTTTTGTTCATTTTGTTTCTGGCAATATTGCAGCGACACCCACTGCACTCGTCAACCGGTAACATGTTGCACTGTACTTGACTTTTTGCCTCGTCGTCACAGATCACTTCCGCATCGCGTATATTTCTCATTTTATGCAATTTCTTTAGATTTTTGTAATCTGGCAACAACTGCGCTGTCTGCTCGAGTCGCATAATTAGAATGATGCCCACTTGACACTAATTAAGTGCGAGAATACTGTGTGTAATGCAGTAAAGGACAAGGAAAACTCCCCGAAAAGGGGTGCATTAAAGCAGAAAGCAGCGATAAAGATGCAAAAATCACTTTTTATGGTTTTTAATGGAGTTGTGTGAGATTGCAGGTTGTCGGTTGGGGTGCAACACTTCAACAGCAAATTAATGTATAGCAATGTTGCAACTTTTTTTCTACTTCAAACACATAAAAAATACATTTTTGTATAAAACAAACAAAAATCTATTAAAAATTTAACTGTTTTAAATAAACGAGTATGTATATGTTTTTACTGTTGGTTTATTTTATAATTTATAACTTTATAATATAAATTTAAATTTATTAAAAAAAATTTATATTTTAATTTCACTTTATATATTCATTTATTTTTTGTTTAATTGTAAATATTTATGTTAATTATTTCAATTATATTCAGTTATTTTAACTTATAAAGTATTTTTTATATATAATATATTTTTTTTTTTCAATTTTTCAACATTAATATTTTAAGTTCACTAATTACTTCATAAATTTTTTTTTTTTAATTTATATTGTTTTTAATTTTTAATATTAATATTTTAGTTCATTAATTAATTGAATTTGTGTATGTATCTTATAATTTATTTTTTTTTAAATGTATTTTTTTTTAATTTTTAATATATATATTTTTTTTAAACTTCAATATTAATATTTTAGTTTATTAATTATTTTAATTCAGATATATTTATCTTATAATTTATTTTTTTATTAATATATTTTTTTTATTTATAAAATACTGTTTTTTTTAATTTTCAATATTAATATTTTAGTTTATTAATTGTAAATATTTTATTTTTAAATTTTAATTCCTTATTTTACGAACAATTTTTACGCGAAAAATAACAACAAAATTTTCACTTTCGTCTCGTCTGCTTCCGTTCAAGAACGCGCACCGGTTTCGTCTAACGAAAGACTAAATTTGCCAGCAAGTAACAACAACACAGAAAGTCTCCTCGACTTTCCCATCCACTTTCCATTTAATGAAATCTGTATGTGGGGGTGTGTTGGTCGCTTGTTTGTTGGTTGTTTGCTTGGCGCTGTGACTGGAATGTTGATAATTGTTTTAAGGCAACATGTTGCCTTTGTCTTTGTCGTTGCGGCTTCGAAAATGTTGCTGGAAATTAACGTAGTGGACAAGTAAACAAAACGTTTTTGGGGTTTCTTTATTTTTACACACGGTTTTATTATATTTGTTTTGATCTTTATATTTATTTGTTAAATAATGATTTTCTACGAATTTGCTAAATTTCTTTTGTTGTTTTGTACTGAGTCCACTTTTTCGAAATTGCGTTGCACAAATAATGTTTTTATTGTTTACAAGCAAAATTTTTGCTTTAGTTTTTCCTTTACGTCCATAAGAATTTTCTATTTAGTTTTGAAAGTAAATAGCTTTTCTTTAAAATTCCAAAAATCGCATTCACTGAAGTCTTTCATCTGAAAATATATTTGAAGAAAAACTTCTTTAAGTTAATAGTCCAAAACTAAATTGTGT